TAGCTCTTCAAGAACTCACAGGACTCTACTTGGTGCCTTAATTAAGTCCAATCAGAGCGGCTGCCAGCTCACAGTCCCACTGTGGCCGTGTTCTCTCCTAGCCCCCTGGACCACACTCTCCACTCCAGAGAGCCCTGCACAGCCTAGGCCAGGTAGGCGTGGTTACTGTAGATGGTGGGAGAACAGATGCAGTGCAGATGCCATGCCGTCACCCTGTGGCTGTGTTGCCCACAGGTTTGTTGCTGCAAGTGTGGCCAATGGCCGTCCCTCCTCATTGCTGCCTCTCTGCTGGCATTGGCCAGTGTAGGCACCTCATAGCCCTGCAACAGATAAAACGGAGTCATAAAGAACTTAAGGCACAGGGACTGGAGCTCTCAGTCTTCCCAGCCAGCCACCCTCCTATGGTCCAGAGTGCCTGGCATGGTCAGTTGTGCTGCATCCCAGCTGCCACAGGGCTGGAGCAGGAGGCCAGGACTAGAGAGCTCTGGCTGGTCTGCACTTGGCGTAGCCTGGAGCAGAACAGGAGATCAAGGTGGGTCCTGTGCCAGGAGGGCTTTGTCCTGTGGACTCATATCCCGCTTGTGCGGGCTAACTGGGGGAATGCTCCTCTGCTCCTTGCTCCTTCCACTGAACAAGAACCACCTCTGAAAGCCTCTCCCCCAGGGCCCTCGCAGGGTTAAAAGCCTCTCCTCCACTCGCAAACCTTGCGGACACACAGGCTTTTCCTCATGCAGGTAAGAAAAACCGGACAGCACCTGGGGACACTGCTAGCTTTTCCCTCTTACCAAGCCCTGGATGCCATCCACTGTTTGCTCTTGGACATTGAGGTAAGGGAGGTAAGGGCTGGGAGGGCAAGACTGCTACCCATGGTGGGGCAGGGCCTCACTCATGGTGGGACCCTCACAGGGGTCCCTACTGGCACGCTACTTGGAGGGAAAACCTAGTACTGGTACCCAGGGCTCCCGGGCAGTCTGGGTATGCAAGCAGGCTGTGGCTGCTGGTGGTACCACAAACAAAACAATCTGGTCCTTTTCAGGAGAAATTAGTCCTGTGTTATTGCTGGCCCCCTCAGTCCAGCCATTACCTCAAACTGGGACTGGGCTGTACCCAAGGCTCAGGACCTTACCTCCTATGGCTGTATGCTCCAGGCTGTCTGGTCTGCTCACCTGAGTGTGAATGGGATGTGGTGGCTTGATGAGGAAAGCCACATCCTCCTGCAGCAGCACCTGGCTTCCCTGAGTGGGCACGGAGCACATCTGGCCTCCTGTATGAGAAAGGGTAACATAACATACCCCAAAATGCTGGAGATATGCAGATGTGCACAGTGGCAACCTAAGGCACCCTGCTTCAGAGCTGAGCTGGCTCTCAGACGAATGCATCACCATCACACTGGTCAGGGGTACCTTCCTTCTCTCAGGGGGAATAACAGAAACCGGCTACTTCCCTAGCACTGATAGCATCAGTCTTCCCTCTCTGCTTCTCCTGTCCAGCCTTTCCGGACTGGTCAGGGGTGGGAAAAGGCGTAGCTGCACTGAGAAATACTTGGTAAGTCATCAGTTACTGTGAGAAATCTCCTTCAGTGCAAGTGAGAGAGAGAGAGGAAAGGAGCTGAGGCAAAGTGGAGACACTTTCAAGGCTCATTCCTGTGCAATCCAAGGGAGAAAGGGAGATTTTCCTGGCGTGTCTTCCTATTTCATTGTGTACAGGATGTCTGAGGACAAAAGGCTTAAATCTGTCATTTCTTGTCACGTGGCTGTGTCCACTGACTGCTACATTGCTCCAGACTGTGGTGAAAAATTAGGATCAGTCCGCTGCATGACTGCTATGGCTGTACTGTCGCCCTGTAGCTCCATGTCTAATCCAGCCTGAATTTGTCAGCGTAGGGAGAGCATCATCTGCAGCTCTACAGAACTCACTGTCCCTCCTGCAGTGGAACTAACTATTCTCTGCTGCTGCAAATACATTGACTTACATGTCATCACTGTGTACCTACATCAAACCAAGGGTTCGTTGGTAACGTGTGGTGGGCTCACACACCTCTTTCTCACCTGCTCTTATTTCCAAGTGCCGAACCCAGTCTGGAGAATGAACTGGTGACTACCCCTTATATGCCTAACCTACCATTAAATTTATTCTTATTTTTAGCACTCTGGTTCCTGAGGTGCCCTGTTTCTCCAATGTAACAGGCAGGTCCCCACCTTCACTGGTGCTGACTTCACTGTAACTTGTCAGCAGACTGCTACCTCTGGCTAACAGTCAGAAGTAAAAGCATCCACCAAGATCTTGGACAGAGCCTTCCCCTCTCATACCTACACTATAGCGTCACTTGTGCCATAACAAAAACCACCAACTGCCTTTGTGCTGTGAAAGTTGACACATACATAATTTTGAGTTTATGCAGATCAACATGCACATTATGCGGCTTTGCAGGCAGGGACAGCTGGAGTCAGGACAAAATTCCTAGGGAACACTGCTGCGGTCTCTCCCAGCTCTCACCCACTCAGGCATCTGCTCCTGCCTGCACATGGCTTTGGCTGGGGGCTGACTGGAGGAAGAGTGACGGTCTGAGATTTCCAGAATATTGGATGAGATAGTCCTTATGTACCTGTCCAATGTACGCAAGATTAGTAACACAAAAAACCCCTACTAAAGAATGTGTTGATCTGGGAGACTGCTGGAGAGCTGGGCCAGGCAGTGGTCAGTGGTTTCTCAGCCTTGTAGCACCCACATCCAAGGCGGAGTAACAAGTTTGGATGTCATTATGCTAGGTAAAGAAGAATTAATCTTTTGACTGAAAGCTTTCCTCTCAATATTAAAACTAAAAAAAAAAACGTTTAAAAACTGGAGAGTAAAAGACAAGAATCAGAACTTAGCTGTTCTACTTAGCAAACACTGATACAAATCACAGTGCGCAAGTAGAAGCAAGGAGAAAATACTATTAGAATAGAGGGTCCTTAATCTGGAAGAGAAAGACCTGAAAATTATGTACAAAACAGAGCTGACATTCAAGCAATTCCAACAGGAAGAAAAGCACACAATTTTTAACAGTGCTTTGACAGTTTCTTATGGTAAGTAGCTATGAAAAAAAAAATCTCCCAACGGAAGAAGTGAATTCTTCATTGCTCAACATTTTAAAAACATGACTGGTACATAGATACATGCTTTGGACAGAAAAATTAAAAGCAGATTAATGGGTGTAAAGTAAGCGCATCAACCTGAAATTTAGCCGTGTTGTTTAATTTCGTGAAGAGACTTGATGATTGACCTCAGCTGCTAAAAACACATCTATAAAGAGGACAGGAATGCTTTCTTTTTTTTTTTTTTTGTCATATTCACTTTAGTCTTATATAATGGCAATGGACCCCTGCACGGCCATCAGTTGACATCTTTAGTGTTTAGTAAATGGAGAGTGACATGAATTGATAGCTTGTCTGGGAACGCTGTTGAATTCTGACCACAGGAGGAGAAGGCTTGTTGGAGTTACCTGTAAGGAAAAACTGCTTACAGCTGCTCTGTCTTGAGGCAGGCAGGCCTTGTTCTGAAGTCTACAGTTTCCAAACCAGAATAGCAGGGAACTAAATGCTGGAGTTCAGTGAAGTGCAATCCTCCCTTGCCCCCGAGCCATATCTCAGTGCTGTCACTGAGAACCGACCCAGAAGCCAGCACTGGTCCCGCCATAGCTCCTGGCAGATACTTGCTCAGGGATGGTCAGTACACTGGCCAGTTACCTTACTCTCTGATTCAGGAATATAGAGTGCTAACATCTACTGAGGCAGTTGACTGGAGCATGCTGCATAGGAAGAACGGGATTTTGTAATGCACAGCCCCAAGATCACCCGTGATTCCCCAGGGTGCCCTGTATTGTCATGCAGCCACAGTCTGCCCTGGTGTTTTCCAGCGCTTTTTACCCACTTATCATCATACACATGAGCTTAAGCCTCTCTGGATCCTTTTACTCACCCAGCTGAGAGTAGCCGCTGATTTCATACTGCCTGAATGCAGCGTGTGCCTGTGCTGAGTGCTGGCTGGAACAGATCTGCACCCCAAAACAAGGTGATTGCAGGCGGTTTTTAACCTCTCTCTCAGCCCCATTTCTTCAGCAGCCTCACAGAGACCCCTGCACCAGGCCTTATTTGCACACCAAAGTACCTGGCCTACATCTATTGGGCTCCGTGGCACTGGCATAGTGGGCAGCAGCAGCCCTGGCCACAAGCACCCAGCAAGAAACACCTTCAACAGATCTTGGCTGAGGTTTATGAACAATAACTCTTCCCCATGCCTCATCCATCATGTGGACACAGTCATCATAGCTTCACCCCATTGTGTCAGGGTGAAAATTGAAATAGAATAATGGTAGAAAAGTCAGGAGGCCCAGACCAGTGGAGATCCCTGAGGGCATAAATTCGCCTGTGGCTCAACAAACACCATGTGGTGAGACACCCTCCATTGGAATCTGTGCTTTTTTAAGTGCAGGTTATTGCACAAAAGAGCATCTCAGAAATGGCAGAGAAGGAGACGTGATAAAGGAAAAAAATAATTCTTTCAACTGGTGCAGGGTGATGCCACATCCCCAGCCTCGCAGCTGGGGAAGAGCAAGCTCAGTGGCTGTGGCTTGTGATGTGACCACATCCAGGGGGCAGGGAAGCACGTAGTCACCGTAAGTACAACTGGGAGGAAAAGAGAGACAGGCTTGGTATACTCATCAAGACAGGGTGTTGGGCTGGCAGGCAAACCAAGGAGGTATGGGTTAGTCCAGATGCACACCTCTCGGTTTCTTCTGTGTGATTCTGTTGCAGTCAGGTATCTGACATGAAATGGCAACTCTCTGGACTCTAAAATCATAGTGTCTGTGAAATCCCAACATGGGAAGCTTTCAACCACTGTGGAGATAGGACCAAAGCCATCCTACCAGTGAAACCCTTGCCCCATGGGTGGATGTGCTCCAGTCCCCTGGCACACAGTCACCACCTCCTCCTCACAGTGCTCGTTTCTGCCCACAGACCAACCCAGCTGGCCCCGTGGCAGGTGACAACCAGACTCATGTGACAGAGTTCATGCTCCTGGGCTTTTCCCACCACCAGCCATTCCTCTTTGTTCTTTTCCTGGCCATTTACCTGACCACACTGCTGGGGAACTCTGCAATACTTGCCCTCGTGTCCCTGGATCCCCATCTCCACAGCCCTATGTACTTCTTCCTCAGTCACCTGTCTTGCTTGGACATTTGCTACTCATCAGTGACGGTGCCCAAGATCCTGGCAAATGTCCTGCGCCCACAGGTGACCATCTCCTACCACGGATGCCTGGCACAGATGTTCTTCCTGATGGGGTGCGCAGGGGCTGAGTGCGCACTCCTGGCTGTCATGGCCTACGACCGCTACGCAGCCATATGCCAGCCCCTGCGCTACACCCATGCCATGAGCCAGGGAGTCTGTGTGGCGGCTGCTGCCGGCTGCTGGCTCTGGGGGATGCTGGACTCTGCCGTGCACACTCTCCTCGCCTCCAGGCTCTCCTTCTGCGGGGCTGTCCAGCTCCAGCACATCTTCTGTGATGTCCCCCCACTGCTGAGGGCCGCGTGCAGCAACACTCGCCCCAGCGAAGTGGCACTCCACGCTGCCAGTGTCTTTGTGGGCCTCAGCCCCTTTCTTCTTGTTGTAATTTCCTACCTCCGCATCCTGGCCACCATTCTCGGGATGCCGGTGGCCACCAACCGGTACAAGGCCTTCTCCACATGCTCTGCCCACTTGCTCGTGGTCGCCCTGTACTTTGTGACAGCTAATCTGAACTACAACCAGCCAAGCTCCGGCTACTCCCTGGCAGCCGATACACTGGTCTCCACACTGTACTGCATCATCACCCCCATGCTGAACCCCCTCATCTACAGTCTCCGCAACCAGGAGGTGCGGAGGGCCCTGCGGAAAGCTGTGCGGGGATGGGGCACACCAGGCTTCCAAGGCAGAAGTGCATGAGCAATACCAGGATTGCAACAGAGTGCTGGTGTGGTGCCAATGCGGCATCGCCCATCTGTGGGAACTCTGTGATGGTACCAGTGGGCTCAGGGCTCCCTGCCCAGGCAGTGGCTGCTTGTGGCACACTGCCATCACTAGTCTGACCCTCAGCATAGCACTGATGGCAGAATGGCAAAATCAAGTTGGGAAGAAGGCCACAGTTCCAGGATTATGTCTTGATTTTGCAAGTTTCATGTGCTGAGCTCCACACAGCACCTGTTGCAGCTCTGCTGCTACCAGGGAATGCTGTAAAAGGCAATTTCATGTGGTACCAGGCACGTGCTGGTCCCAAGCAAGGCTGTGAGCTCTGCCGTGGGGCTGCCCAAGGTGCTGAGCCAGGCCCTGCACAGGACAAGGGGCAATGTCTTGCATTGCAAAACCTGGCCTCTGCACATCCTCCTTCCACACATGCTTTGGCATCAAGTCAGACGTCTGCTGTGTTTCTCCAGATTGCTGTGAAAGCTCTGTAGCATTTTATACATTAGCACAGCAGCCAGCAGTTTAAACAGGCCACTGATTATTCTCCGAGCTTTGGTCAAACAGCAAGTTATCAGTGCTGAGCTGTGAGCTGGCATTGCTTAAATTCTCACCAGAAATGCTTGCTTTGCTTTATAGCCATAAAAAAATCAAAATGCAGTTGTTGTGAGTGGTGTGGCTGTGGACAATAGTGGCTGAGGGCTGGTTGGTGACATACAGCAGCCAGCTTCATCCAGCTGCCACTGTCTCAGCTTAACCTCTTCTTGCAGGGACTCAGTAACTGAGTCCAAGCTCAAATGACTGCATGGGTGTCGGGGCAATCCCACTGCTGGCCAAATCTGCGGGCAGGTACACGAGTGCCAGTGCCATGGCAGAAGCCATGAGCAGCCAGTCACCAGTGCAAGGGTCTGCGTGGAGTGGGAAGCTGGCACAGGCTGCACATGCAGGTGCACGCCTGCAGCCACAGCAGCACTTCTGCAGCTGTGCCACAGAGGGGCACGTTGGCTGGAAGAGGCCAAACATGATCATACATAGCCCAGTTACCCAGAAATACCCAGCAAAATCCAGTCTGTTCCCAAAGAAACCTACAGTTTTCCGGTTCTTCCCAGTGCACAACACACACAGATTTTATTCTTCAGTGAAATAAATGTTTCTGTAACCCATGTGTTGGGATGGCCTGTTGCTCCTACCCAAACAGGCTGCAAGCCTCCCAGCCAGTTCTACTTGCTCTACACCCTTCTTGATTGGAAAAAATTATTGAAACCCCCCTAGTTCAGAGTCTCACTAGGACAGTTAAGAGAGTCTGCCATAATGAGGCCCATTCTGGAGAGCCCCCTGGAAAGGCACATCAGGAAATAAAGGGTGAACTGCATGAGGAAAAAACATTTGGAAAGTTATTTCGGAGGAAAAAAACAAACAACAAAAAAAACCCCACCAAAACCCCAAAACCCCCCAAACCCCAAAGAACCCCAAAACAACCAACCAAAACCCCAGACCAAAAACCTCTAGAAAATTTACATTTAAATAGGCAATTTCTAACCTGAATCACAATGTGTCTTTCCCATGACTGACAGACACAGATGGTGATTTTTCTCAGTATCAAACACTGAGCATGGATGCTGTTCTGCCTTCCAGCTAGTAGAGTCTTGTTCAAGTGCAGGATGGTCCAGAACCAACCTGTAAGCTGCACTGCGCTCTAAAGGTGTCACAGTGAGACCCTCTGCACTCCTGCTGCTGGCAGCTGGCCCTGCACTGGGCTGTGCTCCTGCAACTTCTCATGTGCTGTGTTACTCAGCGTGGCCCCGATGTATTCCTGTTGTGATAGTACTTGCACACCACAACGGAACAACAACCAACCCCTACAGTGGCATGTTGAGCATCTAGCCTGGAATATACTGGTTCAAGGGTGGGCTTCAGTTTGCATTGGATTATTACTGAAAACTGCTTTAAACGTTAAAAATAGAAAACTTCCTCTTGTTCTGCTAACCACCTGCTCAGCCTTTTCCCCTCATCCGTGATGAAGGGGGACTAGAATCAGGGGCGCTTTTCACTGTGCAAGGAACCGAGCCTACAACAGACACAGGGGATGTGCTGTCACAGAATAACCAGGATGCGGTTTTAGTCAGGCCATAACAAAAGCAGTTTATTACTACAGCTATGAGTGAGAGCACAGTGCAGGCAGAGCTCTGCCCACACAGGGCAGTTACAGAGTTTATATACTCAGGTTATGCAACTCGTTCTTCACCAAACTATGTCAGATAAGCAGACTATTGTAAGTAACAATAGCATTCTTCAGATAAGGAAGCTCTAGACAGCACACCCTTTAACAAATAATCCACTCTGTTAATTAAACTGGTGAGACCATTACCTGAAAATATTTCTTAACTAGTGAGTCCTGCAAAGGCCCCTGAGGCGTTAACTATTTTACTGCCACACGGGTGACTTCAGCACAGGGACTCAAACCCCCCAACGGCAGAGAGAACAGGCTGAGCCAAATACTGGATGGGGGAACCTCCCTTTAGCACTGACTGCAAAGCACACTGGAGCCCTTCGGCTTAGAGACAAGCTGTGGGACTGCTCTTCCAGCACCACCGGCATGTGAACCTTATTTACACTGTCAGATCAGTTAACAGGAAAAATGGAGCACTCTTAAAAATATTCTGCTGCGATTCATTTGCTACATTGAAAGGATTTCCCTAGCAGAACATTCCTCTGATGGGCTGCCTGGCTGAGGATCAAGACAGTTATTAACATACTATCTGTTAAGTGAAGCCTTTTAGTATTTTTCTTTTGCTCCAAGACAGATTTTCCAGAATATTTTTCTCAGAAAATAATCTGATTTTTACACTCCCTTTTCAAGGTTTACCCCAGAAATGACACATCTCCCAACAGCATTCTTGGCACACAGAGGAAAACCAAGTAACCTCCTACCCTAGCAAGATCATCCTACATTGTCTTTGAGCCAGCACACCCTTCTCTTGTTTAATGGAACAGCTTACTACAGCCACACTTGTGTCTGTGCGGGAACAGTCAGCAGTGTTCACCGTGATGGTCAAATGTTCCCAGGCCCCAGCCCTGAAATCTGCCCAGATAGACCAGGTTCATGTTTGTCTACCCTGCGCTGCAAATGCGGTTCATCCTGCAAGTGGAAATCCTTCTTGGAAACAAAGGCAAGCTTAGCCTTCACAGTGCTCTTTTCCTTGAGCCCTCGGTAGGAAGAGATCCAAGGTCACAGCAACTTTAAAAGGTCCCATAGCTCATGTCCCTTCTGCCTTGACTGGATTAGAGTTGGTGTTTCTTTTCTGTGACTTCTCCTGTTGGGAGCAGTAATGGACACACTTCTCCTGCAAGCTTACTGGTTGACATGTGGGACAGCCTAGGCAGAATAGACCTCTTATATCACACTCACATGCTTTTAAACCATCCCACCTTTCCCATCTGGAAGTGGATGGGAACCAAAGTCCTCTTGGACACGGGTCAAAACATTCCCTCAGACACTGCCAGATTGCTCCTTGGTATTTCTTGCATGTAGACATGCCAGGCTGAGCCAAATTAAGCTAACAACACATAAAAGGCTGAAGCAGAGAGAGGCAAAAGTTTGGAAGGAAGCACCTTGTACAATGCTGGTTTCACTGCAGAAGCTTCACATAATTTGCCGGAAAGAGGCCTACTTTGCCCCGGCACTGCCCCCGCCACCAGCCTTCATCTACCATCTCGATGTTTGTGATTGTGTCATCAGGGTCAAAAGAAATCTCATCATCTCCATCTGCAAAAATTGTTCAAAAAAATAGTCACAATGCAAAGATAACCCCGGAGAGAGATGGTTTTACACCCCTCCTCCTAGCCCCCCACCAGGAGGAGAATACACAACAAGCATTCTGATAACCATCAGAGTTCATCTCATTCAACTCCCACCAAACAGCACAGATAAAGCAGAGAAGGAGCCAGACTTCACACATGAAATATGATGCTTCTGTGTTCCCAAGTAAGGTCTCATTCTGCTTTCCAAGCGGTAGAAATTTAAACCACCGAGTCGAAATCTTTTCACCACTGCTGATGGTGTAAGCCACCCCCTCCCTGTTGCACCACTCCGGCCAGCTCCCAGTGCCTCTCCCCACAACCTAGATGGCAGACCCACCTCCTTGGTAATCGTAAAGAGCCAGTGCACAGGTCCCAGGGCTCTCCACCTCATAAACATTGTCCGTTTCCCCTGCAGAAGACATGATGGGCAGATGAGAAAGAGGCTGAAAGCAGCCATATAGATCTGTTCAGTACCACCCTCCACCCAGCTGTCAGCCTTGGGGTGAACGACATCCAAACCCTGTCAACAGGGAGAGCTGTACCATGGCAAGGTATGACTTCCCTCCCCTTCTGCAAGGAGAAAGGTGGGGTCCTGATGCTTCATGTTGCTCTCCCAAGAAAAAGGCTGGACATAACTCCAGCCTCTCAACTTACCATCTCCAGAACCAGCGAAGCTGCAATAGAAATATCAACAACAGCCCGTGCAGTTTGCTTATATGCTTGGAGGAAGACTACCCTGCACTCTTCACACTCAGGAGACACCACCAGATCAGTTCTCATGAGAACCAGCCCTTTCAGTAACAGGACGAATTAAGACGGTACACCCAGTCCTCAGTGCAGCACTGGCAGTTGCTTGCCAGGAAACAGTGCACCAAGAGTATCGGTCCAGGTCCAGCTTCTTCCGAGCCCACAGTAGCCCTCTGGTACTCTTGCCTGAGTCCTGCTCCAGCAGAGATACTTGGTCCCTGGCCCAGCATCCCATGCAGCTGAACTCACACCTTGGAATTGGGCAAGGGAGTGGGAGACAACCAAGTCTCCATCATCATGTGCTGCTACCCTGTCCACAGTAGACTTCGGGATACAAATTCCCTCTGGAGTCTGTCACATACATCCAGTGAGGTGAGCAGACAGACAGAAGCTTCCCAAGACATGCGCTCTTCCATCAGTACTCACCCAGGTGGGGCTGGCTTTGGCTGGGTTCCTCAGGAAGGATCTCCTCATAGTCCTCACCTCCATCTCCTCCATGGTCATAGATGGCATCCAGCCTTCCTGAGGGTGCTGGCAGCTCCTCATAGTCAGCACCTCCATTGGTACTGTCACAGTAGTCAGAGGGCTCTGGCAGCTCCTCATAGTCTCCACTGACATCCAAACTTTCACTGTAGATGGGCTGAACCTGGCTGGGGATCTTGCACAGCTCTTCACACAGATCTGATGGCCTTGGTGGCAAAATGGGTGGTATTTCCTCATCATCCCTTTTTGCCTCCTGCCACGAAGCGAGAAAGTGACAGGAAAGTCACCTGCAAAGCATCCACTGCAAGCAGTTCTCCTGTGACTGCACAGCACCCAAGACAAGGGAGCCCACTCCACTGCAGGTGCCTTTAGTGCTACCATGACACAAACGGAGCATCATCCTCCACACAACAGGGAAGCAGCTCAGCCACTAGGTCTGTGCTGAACTGGCACCTGGGATTGCTGTGAAGACCCCCATGGCTCATTTATTTCAACCTCTCTCACATATTTCTACAGCTCACTGTACTGCCACTGCACTGACCCACTCCAAGGGCCCACCTCATGGTGTAAGGTGCTGTGCAGCCATGTCCCATCACCATCCTAGTGTTTCCCCCCTCCTTCCAAAGTGGCTGCACCCCACTTCTTCCTGCAGGGCTGCCCATAAAGCACAGCCCTCTTTGGGGTGCAATCCCCTCTGCCTACTCCCCTTCCCGGCTCTCCAAAGCCCGCCCTGGCACCTGTTCTCCTTGGGACGCAGGCCTGTCTTGGTCAGCACTCCCAGGTACCCTTGCTGGCATGGTGGCAGGCACTGCCTCTGTGTGGTCCTTCTCTTTCTGTGGGATTTCCTGCTGGAGAAAAGTAATCAGATCCCCTCAATCCCTTTGAATAAGGTCCAGAGCAATGTCCGTTCCCATTTCCAGTCGAGCAACTCAGAAAATTTCTCTCTACCTGAAATCTGTTCCAACCCCTGTAAACCTGCCCTAGGGACTGGACACTAGCAGGCCTGTAACAACTATGGGGTCTGCAGAAAGTAGCCTCGAGGAGGGAAGGTATCAGGGAGTGTTTTATTGGTGAAACCTTACTCACACACTGAATGCGCAAACAGCAGAATGTAGAAGAAGGTCTTTTAAACTTGAGGGTTTGGGTACAATCTCCAATTTGGAAAACACTGAATGCAGACTGCTGGGGTGGTAATACCAGGGAGACGTGATTGCACTGTGTTTGCCAGGTGCTAGAGGCAAGCAGGAGCCTAGACCAGCGCACAGTGGGTCATGGGTGGGTGCAGGCACACACCGATCTGTGTGCCCAAAGGGAAAATCCAGCGACAGCTGTGACGTTCAATGGCAGTCCCTGGCAGTTACAGGGAAGCCGTTTAGACAAGAGATTACTGTAAAGAGGTCAAGGACATGGAGATGCATGGCCCTGAGGAAAAGTCTGCTTTGCAAGCCTTGGAGGACACGGCAAGATGGCTATGGCTCACCTTTCGCCGAGCTGCTTGGTACTCCCAAGTCTGTCGCCTCACCCGGTCCTCCTCTGCCTGCCTTCTGCTCTCCTCCTCTGCTGACTTAGCCATGTTTTCAAATCGTGACCGCAGGCTGCCGGACTCCCTTCCACCACCCCAAGCATCCAGGAGAAAGCTAGACCTCTGCCTCTCCCAGAGTAACTTGCAGTTCGGCCACCTTCTCCTGGCCCTCAACACAGGTTAAATCCACATCCCACCACAGCATATGCCTGCCAGTGTGTTGCCACAGAGGGACCATGAGGTCCACAGCTTCCCACCAAACCCAGGGCTGGTACTCAGTTGTCTCACCTGCCTCCACCGGTCTTGTTTTCTCATATGAGGAGGTGGGACCTGCCATCTCATTAAAGCCAGCAGCACTCTGCAAGAGGAAATGAATGAAGTGTCCAGCTCGTTAGGCAAGGCCAGTGCTGAGATCCCATGCTGGGTTTGGCTACTGGTCACTGCAGCTTTGTTCCCAGCTGTGTCTGTCCTCATCTGTACAACTGCTACAGCCCTGTGGAGGCTGCTGGCTGCAGCCCTGCTCTCCTGATGCCTCCCTGCACTGTGGGAGTGTCTGCTGCCCACCAGCCAAAGGCAAGGGTTGTTCTGTTACAGGGGTGGCACTCCGAGGGCTGAAAAGCAGAGGGGGCTGCACAGTGGCAAGACAACTGCTGCATGGGACAGCAAGACTGGGCATTCAAGGCAGAAGCACTCACTGGTAGCACAGCAAAGCGCTGAGTGGATGCCTGGCAGTCTACCACCTCCTGAGGGCCAGGGACCCGATGCATCAGTCCCTGCACTCCCAGTGGCCTGAGACATGAAAGCACTGCCCTGTTGGATGCACAGCCGCCTAACCATGAAAAATGTGTGTCCTTTCAGCAGGTGTATGCGTATGCAATAGCATAGGCTGGAAAACATTAAAGTGAAAATGTGTGTGAACATCTGTCTTTATGAGTTGTGAAGAGATGTCTAAAGTGGTAATAGCATCAGCGGGATTTGCAGCAAAAAGAAAGTGAGCTACAGGGGGTTTATCTACTTTCATGAGAAAACTATTTCATACAAAAAGGAAACTGCGGGTAGGACCCAACTTTCAGACTAATACAGCTACATTCAGGGTTCTACCTGCAGGTGTCACCAATGGGCTGGGTGGCCGAATTCCTACCTCAGTCAGTAGAGCCCAGAGAGCAGCTCTGCTCTGCTTAAAGAAAACACATCTGAGCAGTCAAACAGCACTGCAGGCCAAGAACCAGGTCTACACAGACCACAGCAGAGACTTGGACATGTTGTTTATACGACAGCACTTAAATTTAGGAGTCTTGGTGTCAGAGCTGAATCCCACACTTAGTGTCCAAAACTTTATCAAAGGGGAGTTAAGATTGCTGGTGGTAAATTATGCTCTACTCTCGAGTAATGAATTCAGCACTGCTCCAGTGCCTGAAAACCAGGTAGTCAAGAACTTCGGTACTTGCCCAAATATGCTTATTTTTACCATCTTTGATTATGCTTCAGTATTCTCAAAATGCACAAATTCATGTTTCCCTTTGAGCTGATCAAGAACTGCTTATCCCCTCTCTGCATCCTGCTCCTCAAATACAGCAATGACTTTTGCAAAAATGCCCATGTGGTTTTGCATGCTTTTTTTCCTGCCACATACCTGATGTCTTGCTTTTTGACAATGTACCTCCATTTGCTGTTGTTAAATTCATAGACCATGCTAATTTCTTCCACGGGCAGGACGCCATTCCGGCTCTGCTACTGGCCTAGCCTACACATGCAGCATGGAAAGGAACATCCACAGCTGTTACGTGTTTATGTCCTTCCGTGGCTCAGGGTCATGCAGAAAAGTCCTCATCTGCTTCCTCCAGTTCCCGAGTATGGCAATGTTGGTACTGTATCAGGCACAACACTGTGCCCCTAGCACTATGCCCAACAATAGACAAAGCATGGTTCAGGGCAAATACCCTTGCTTCCTCCTCCAAACACTCCAAAGTCCCACCACCAGGATTCTCATTTTCTAGTTCATCCCCATCCATGCAGACAGATCATCATTCACTGGCAAGACCCTCTTTCCTAAACAAGCTTTCAGGGTAGCCTGCCCAATCACAACACTCATTTAAGTGCCTGAGACAGTCTGACTGTAGATAAGCCTTTGCTTGGTTTCAGCCCAGACAGAAAACTTGAACCAACTGGAAATACAACACAGCAGAGAGGAAACAGTCTAGGAGGTTCCTGGAGTGTGTGGAAGATCACTTCCTGACGCAGCTGGTAAGTGAGCCTACCAGCCAAGGTGCCTCGCTAGATCTGCTGTTTACTAACAGAGTAGGACTGGTGGGAGATGGGGTGGTCAGAGGCTGTCTTGGGCTTTGAGACCATGAAATAACAGAGTTCTCGGTTCGAGGTGAAGTTAAGAGGTGGGCCAGCAAAACCATCACCATGGACTTTCAGAGGGCAGACTTTGGCCTGTTCAGGACACTGGCTGAGAGGGTCCCCTGGGAGAGAGTCCTGAAGGGCAAAGGGGTCCAGGAAGGCTGGACAGTCTTCAGGAGGAAGTCTTAAAGGCACAGGAGCAGGCTGTCCCCATGTGCCGCAAGACGAACCATCGGGGAAGACGACCGGCCTGGCTGAACAGGGAGCTCTTGCTGGGACTCGGGAAAAAAAGGAGGGTCTACCAGGTATGGAAGAAAGGGCAGGGGACTCAAGAGGAGTACAGGGCTCTCGTTAGGTCGTGCAGAGAGGAAATTAGAAAGGCAAAAGCCCAGCTAGAACTCAGGATGGCCACTGTTGTAAGGGTCAACAAAAAGTGTTTTTACAAAGACATCAACAACAAAAAGAGGGCCAAGGAGAGTCTCCATCCCTTATTGGGTGCAAGGAGGAATACTGCCAACAAGGATCAGGAAAAGGCTGAGGTGCTTAATGCCTTCTTTGCCTCAGTCTTTAGTAGTCAGACTTGTTATTCCCAGGGTAGTCAGCCCCCAGTGCTGGAAGATAGGGAAGGAGAGCAGAATAAACCTCTCATAATCCAGGAGGAAGCAGTTAACGACCTCCTGTGCCACCTGGACACTTACAAGTCTATGAGGCTGGATGGGATCCACCCGAGAGTGCTGAGGGAACTGGTGGAGGAGCTGGCCAAGCCACCCTCCATCATCTATCAGCAGTCCTGGCTATTAGGGGAGGTCCCAGATGACTGGAGGATCGTCAATGTAACACCCATCTACAAGAAGAACCAGAAGGAGGATCCCGGGAGCTACAGGCCTGTTAGCCTGACCTCGGTGCTGGGCAAGACTATGGAGCAATTCATCCTGAGTGCACTCACCAGGCATGTGCAGGGCAATCAGGGTATCAGGCCCAGCCAGCATGGGTTCACGAAAGGCAGGTCCTGCTTGACCTCCTTCTATGACCAGGTGACCCGCCTAGTGGACGAGGAAAAGGCTGGGGATGTCATCTACCTGGAGTTTAGTATGGCCTTTGACACTGTTCCTCACAGTAACCTCCTGGAGAAACCAGCTGCCCATGGTTTGGACGGGTGTACTCTTCGCTGGATAAAGAACTGGCTGAATGGCTGACTGCACACTTCAGTGCTTTTGGGACAGGTCAGGGAGCACAGGTCAGATCCTGTGTGGATATAAAGCAAAGCAGGTCCAGTGACGCTAAATGAGGCTGCACTGATTTATACTGTTTGAGGAACTGTTGCTGATGTATTTGTAGTACTCACTTTTGACTAACTGGGAAGATTACTTTTGTCTTCTTTCTGAACTGTGGGGCAAGGAAGACTCAGGAACAAATTAGGAATTCAGTAGTTGAGGAGAATGTAGTATAAGCAGTTATTCAATATTGTTGTTTGTGCTTTGTGTGGATCTGACATAAGATGCTTTCTCTTTGTCTTACAGAGCCATTGGTAATAATTTCACAGCTGTATTTTCTTTCAAAGCCTGGGTACATTTGTAAAAATGCAAGATGCGTTTTTTCCTTAATACAGAGGGTATACAGGCATCGCCCTTTAAAAGCCGTTGGGGAATCTCTGTAACTGGTATGTACAATACCAGAAACAAAGGAATCTGTACCATGGACTAGTGGTCAGACATTGGAACAGGCTGCCCAGGGAGGTGGTTGAGTCCCCATCCCTGGAGGTGTTTAAAAGCACTTGTAGATGTGGCACTTCAGGATATAGTTTAGTGGGCATGGTGGTGTTGGGCTGACAGTTGGACTTGATGATCTTAGAGGTCTTTTCCAACGTATGATTCATGACCAGCTGGTTAGTGTAAGAGGACAAAGAGCCAGATACCAGAGAGGCCATTGATCTGGGTCAGATGCTGGAGAGACCAGGGAGGTCTGCAAGTTGGCTACTTGAGGGACCAAAGATTCAAGCCAGTTTTGTTTATGTGTGAGTGTGACAGCTGCTAACAAACCTTATGTCTTGAGTAAAAACAGCTAGATGAATGGCAACCACAGCAATACTGCCTTCTTGCTGGAGGTCATCCAAGGCAAGAACCACTCAGCATGCATACTGGTCTCTGTACGATCATCACCTACCAGTCTATGCTTGGGACACCTGACGGGCCTTCAGTCTGAGCCCGCATGTCTCCTGTGTAAGAGACAGTTCCTGTATGGTGCAATAGCCTGTGGCCTCTTAGACTTCTCACAATGCTGCACACATAAAATTTCATCTCCAGGCAGCTACCACGGCTCATCCTGACTGTACTGACACACACAGGGCCTGTAGGAGTGATGGCAAGCAGCCAGACAGAACACTCCCAGTATCTCAAATGGTACTATATCCAGGAGGGCACAGTCTGATGCCCTCAGAAAGCTCTTCACTGGCTCTGCTATTAAATCCTGCCCCAAGAGAAAGCAGGTGTATGACTGTTCAGTCCGAGAGTGGAATAACTCAAAAGCAGCTGAGAACGGAAGAAACTTTTTCTTCCTTGCATTATGGTCTCCCCAGGCTGCATTCCTGTACACCCCCTGGTATTTAGACTGGGCCAGTTCCATCACCCTTGCAACAGCTGTGCACTGAGTGGAGGGACCTCGTCTCCACCTGGGACGTTTCTTCTCTTGTAGCAGTGCAAAGAGCAGTGATTAGCAAGAAGCAGTTGCAGGTTGCAGCATGCCATCTTACCTTATCTACTCTGTCCTTCTGGACCCCATAACGGCCTCCAAACCCCTTGGCATAGTCTATATGGAAAAAAGGCGGCTATTTTATTATATTTTATATTCTGTGTGCACCTCTGACCTCTGTATGCCGTGACCAGTGAAATGAGTTAGCTTTGTCTGCATCTTATCACATATGGAACTAAATACAGATAATACCATGCAGAATGCTCTGGACAGTGGCTTTTACGACTTTTAAGTGGCTTTTCATTCCTTTCAGCAAAGTGCACAAGTGTTCAGTGCTGTATGCTGGCAAGTCTGCTTCCAAGGCACCAGGGTGAGAAGCCAGTCATGCCATTTGAATGCAGCGTGGCCTTGTTCACTGAAGTTAAACCTGCAGTAGTCAAGCCATTCCTGGAACCTGCTTTGCTTCATTCCCATGTGCTCACCTTTTGAACGAGCTTATGATCAGGAACGTACTTAGAGAAAGCACAGTACAGTCTGGGAAGCCTGATTCAGGGACTTGCATTCAGTGTCCCCCACTGATCCAAGAATGCACCTACTCTGGCAGAGTTTACCTTTGTGCTTTGGGGGTTCACAATGTCCCAGCTTCTCCACAACAAGCTGTACACATTCAGTTTTCAGCAGCTGGATCGCTGTCCAGTATGAACCACTAGCTCTAGGTCTGTGTGTGCTCCAAGGAAATTGTGCTGCCACCTCTGGCAGCACTGCCTACCTGTTTGGGATGCATGGGGTTGCACTTCCTCCTGATGGTCCCAGCCAAGGGCACTCTGGTCCTGACGATCCCTCTGGACCCCGAACTTCCCACCAAAGCCCACAGAATAGTCTTCAGCCACAGGGATTCAGATCAAGGCATCAAAGAGAACACACGAGGGGAGGGCAAGAGAAAAGTGGCAGGACTCGGAGCCCAGGGTGTTGTTCCAAGCCCAGGACTCAGAGAAAGACATGGAGCAGATTTCCCCACTGATGGCTGCAGCAACAGCCCTCCCTCCTCCCTGGGACAGGTCACATGCTACTAGCACCTGCCTGGGCTTCCCCTGCACCCTTCCTTTGGTGACATACTGCCCAGGAGATCCCTGTGCCCACAGAAATCTGCTGCTCCTCTTCAATTAGCTTGAACTTTTTCCAGCAGCCATGCATTGTGCAATGGCTTTCCTCACCTGCTCCATTCCCTTGCTGCAAGCAGTAGGCACCCAACAGCTCCCCACAGCTTTTCCACCATTCATACAGCAGATTGCAAAAACCAAGCACAGTGTCCCACAGCCCCAGTTTGCATAGTCCCAAATTCCAGTCCTGACACTGGCTGCTGCATTGGGCTCCCCAACTCACCTTTCTGAGAGTCATGCTTCTCGGCTTGGCTCTTGTAGTCGAATCCCACTGCCGCTTTGTCCACCTTGTCCCTCTCCACGCCGTATCGGCCACCAAAGCCCTTGGAGTAATCTGAGGTGGTGCTGGAGTGAAATGCTGCCCCAGGCATGGGGCTGGTGAGGGGAGGGGTAAAAGATGGGGAGCAGCCCTGGGGAGGAGCAAGAGCAGCAGGGACAATGGAAAACACTAGAAAAAGTAAGGAGTTTGGAGGGGACAGAGTGGATGGCAGGGAGCACCATGCGTACCATCAAGGATGAGGGCCCATGAGAATGGGTGCACTGGGCAAGCATGGGTCATGGCAGCAAGAGAGCCTGAGGGCAATGCCAGAAGGAGACACAGCAGGCTGAGAGGGCAAGGAAGAAAAGCAACATGCCAAGGGCAGTTGGGGACGCAGTGGGAGCTCAGCCACCTGAGAACGCAAAGCCAAGGCAAGACTTGGGCACTGACAGCCTGGGCATCCACCCACTCATGCCTCCCCAGAGCAAGGATTTCAAACTGTGGTCTGCCAGTCTCTGAAAAGGTCTACGAATAAGTATATTGCACCCTTGAAAGTACAGAAACGGCAAACTTTTGTTGTGCAGCTTACATTTACTATAATGGAATCTTAACTTCTGCAAGGAAACCACTGACTCTGGATGCTGAAGCAAAGGCTGAAACCCACATTTCCAGAGACAGTTCTTCCCTTACACTGTCTCTGGCACGCACTCAACCATTATGTGATAGAGGCACAGCACGTGTTCCTTACACCACCCCTTTTTCCATCTTCTAAACTAGTAACATATTGAGTACTTCAGCCGTGTTCAGTTACTCTCTAAGGACTACGTGGTTATTATTGGCTGATGTCCCAAGGAATTTCAGCCTCTACCCCAGCTGCCGGCTGTACAGAGACACTTGCCTTTCAGAGATCTGGTCTGCCAGTTGGTTCCAGATCCTGCCCTTCAGAAGGAGTAAATCACAGTTACCTCTCTTCATTCCCTGACCCTATTCTTACAGGTCTGCAGTTCACAGGAATGAGCTGGGGCTTCTCCAGCAAATTCAGCCTTATCAGACCACGAAAATTGTGATCTAGAGACATATGCATGAAAAAATTTTTTATTCAGGAATGGCGCTCTGCTTCACAGAAGCTCAGTCACTTAAGGATGAATCTGTAAGTCCTAGAAATTTCTTATACTTTTCTCAATTAAACTATTATTTACCCATAAGGCCATTATGAAATGGACCTTTTAGGATGCTGTTTTCAGTAAATAATAGATTTTATGACTGTTACCTTGATGATGGAGTTTCCAGTATGGACATATTTTTATGAAAAACAATCAAACACCTTACCCTAACATCGTCATTTTGTCCTGAGTGATCTCTGTGGTTTACACAGCCTGATGAACTTCTGTATCTACAATCTGGTATATAATCTCTTATACAGGAATATGTAATGATTCTACGAGATTCTATGTTAACTGCACATGATTCATTAATCTATGATCAACCACGAATTCCTCAAAACATCTTCCTTCTTTTAAAGTTTCCTCTAAATTAACATGATTCAGTTCTTTTCTTGGTAATGCAGTATTTCTCACATTTATCTGAAACAGTAACAGACCTTGCCCTCTCATCTTCTCTTGGTTGCAGAATATTTAAAATATCTTTAGTTCCAGTTCTCGCAATGTTCTTAATGAATATAGCTGCTTGTATGTACATGTCAAAGTTTGACTGAATCATCTCCAGAATTCTGTAAAATGTTTGGGTGCTGTATAGGCTTTTGTTTCCGTATCCATTGTTATGCCTTTTCTTATATGCCACTTTTTCAGAAATCACTTCTCATGTCCTACAGTGCTTGGGTTTCTCAGAAGGACTTTTAGAGGAAAGGGAGCATCAGCTATCCATCAGAGGTGGGGGTGTGTGTGGGGGTACCTTCTCTGCTCAGTATTGATGTGGCTTCCGTCAAAGCAAAACAGAGACAAGCGGAATGTACAACCGAAGAATGGTGACAGGACAGCAGGGAATGGGGCTACAAGGGTGACTGACTGGGAACAGGAATCTGAAACAAGTGACAAGAGGGAGGGTAACAAAGCAGACTATGCCACAGCAGACAGCACAGGATATTGGGAGCAGAAGAGAAGCTGAGCAAAGTGTGATGGGGCCACATGTGCCCATGGACTTGCCTTTCTGGGACGAGTGTTTCTCCACCTCACCCTTGTATTCAAAGCCCAGTGCTGACTGGAACAAGAAGGGCAGGAATGTCAGGCATCCTTAGGGCCAAACCAGGCCCCACCCACCCTCCTCCAGGGCCCGGACTGGGACCCTGCTCCCTGTCTTGTGCTGCAACACGCAGGCGCCCGGCCA